ACCGTGATTTGCGTCATGCTTCGCCTGTTTCCACAAGGGGCGTGAGTGTACGAAGATCACCCTGTGCATGGATGTCTTCAAAAAGGCAACACTCGTGGTCTTCACGCTCGCTCGCGCGGAGAATAACCTCGTTTGGGCTGGGGAGAAGGAGCTCAGGAATGTTGTTCGGACCCTGGGCCTGGAAAAATCACAGCGCTGTCTTAGCACACACACACACCTACAACGGGCGCACATACCTTCTGCACGAACACTTTGTCGAGCTTTTCGACGCGGTATTGCGGGCCATATCATGGCTCAATTCCCAGTTGCCCTTTCCATGTAATTGCTCGTGCTCAGCACCTTTTGTCATTAGAACAATGCAATCTCTGTCGACACATAGACTGTCAGTACATCGCGCATCTCACGCTCACTACTACCTTCCGGGTCCTATTTGTCCCACTTCTCGGACAAGCTGCAGCACGCTGAGAACAAACGTCTGAGGAACAGCCCAGGAAAAATACTCCGAAGCCCACACTGCGTAGTCGTGCTACCGCATCGTGATTTGCTGCTCGTCCGCAACCCGAGGCGCACCTGCAGGTCTTCGTATTGCGCGATGATGCCAACCGCCTTCTGCCGCCCGTCGAGCGTGTGGGGGTGCGCGAACGCATGCAGCACGACGCGCATCTGCGCCTCCATGAGTGGCAGTGCCGTGACGCCTCTCAGCGATCCGAATAATGCAAGACGAGACACCTACGACGGGAAAAAGATGCCGCGCGAGTGGGAAGAGGTGGTAGGTCAAATTGTACAGTACGTGAGGCAGCGGCCACGCACAGAAGGGCGCGCTCGGGATGAGCTCGTCCTGCAGCGCGCGCACAATCTCATCCGGTGAATGCCCCGCCCACCGCGGGTCTGTCCTGGCCGCTCTGCTATTCTTCTGGTCCTTCAAGTCGATGATGACCATCAGGCTGCATCTCATTCGGAGGGAATAGAAGCACCTGCCAAGCGTTCTTCATATCCTCGGGCCATCCACATGAGCGCTTGGGTGTATCGCTCTGGTGTCCGGAGGAGACTCTCCTTACCGGGATCTTCACCAATGCACTCGAGAATAGTACGAACAGCACTGGAAAGCTTCTGTTCTTGTTCAGCGCGCTCTGCCAGCGTAGCATTAGGACGAGACAATGTGGACTTGGCTCTAGGGCAAAATTAGGGCAGAGAATCGCAGCAAAATCGAATTAAATCCTACCCGGCCATCCCAGCCCATTTGGATCAGGTAGTGGGCTAGTAGAATGTCTATATGGTGGTCTGAAGCCATATCCTTCTCGGTCAAGAGTGCTCACCCCGGGCCTGTTAAGACCAAGGGATGCAAGTACTGAAGGAAGCATACTATCGTCGTCCTGTGCCTCATGATCGTCGTCGAGATGCGCGTCGGTATTGGAAGCCAACGATTGATTTGCGAGCTAAAGCCTATGCAACGTGTATTGACAATTGATGGGCAAGCCCTGCGACGCCCGACCAGCAGCTTTGTGCTATCGCGATCGACATGTCAGTGGCCGATGCACCGACGCGCCCTCGTTCCTACATGACTCAATTAGAATAAAATTTACGGACACTCCATTTACGCACCGTTCCTTTTTACGAACCATCCTCAGACCACGAGACTTCAGTTGCTTACCTTTTCCCCCGCAACCAAAACTCATCGTGTACTAGCTTCACTCGTCCTCGTTAAGAACGTCGCGAGCGTTGACGTGAACAAACCGTCTGAAGGGGTATCAGCATAGTCGACAGTATTATGACAGTAAATCTGTACCAGCGTCGATGTCGAACGTGATGTCAATCTGCGGCACACCCGTCGGCACCAGCGGGATGACGGTCAGGTTGAAGTTGCCGAGAAGCTTGTTGTCCCGGACGAGCTCACGCTCACCCTAGTAGACCTTGACCTCAGTGACAGTTTGACCATCCGCAGCCGTTGAGAACGTCAGAGTTTTCTTCGTTGAGATAGTCATGTTGCACTGGACAAACTTGGTCATGATACCACCAAGAGGCCTGATGCCTGAGCAGCAGGGTCAGAAGGCCTTGAACGACTCTCAGGGTGGTGTCTTGGCCAGCAATGTCACCGACATCCTCGTCCTCAATGTCACTCCTCTGTTGCTCAGTAAGTGCATATGTACTGGATGTGGGTACAAAGAGTATCGTCAAGGTGAATACCCTTGCTAGGCTCATGGCCAAAGACTGTCTTTGTGTGTCAATGATGCGAGGCATACAAGCCTCATGAATATGCTTCACCACCATCAGGACCAAATTGCGTAGACAACATGTATAGCATTAGACAAGGGCGACAAGGTACGAGATAGCAAAGAGAAAACAAGGAGCGATAAGCAAACAATGAAGTACGAGAAAGCAATTAGCGAATGGTGAAGCAAGCGACCAAAATAGGAAGTATTGTAAAGCGACATTAGTCAGCAACTTCAGCACGGACGATTAAAATGTAGATAAACGAGACAGAAATAACAGAAACGACAGGGAAGAGTAGGAGTAGCTAGCAGATAGCACATGGTTCATCAGCCTAGTGTGCGGTTAGTCGTCTCCAGTGAGATCGATGACAACA